CTCTCTCTCTCTCTCTCTCTCTCTCTAGGGTTCAGCCTCCTGATGAGTCGGTGAAACTCCGACGAAACAGTTTGTCACAGCCCCTCGTTTGTTGTCCTCTTCTCTCTCTCTACCTACGGTTTACCGGGCAGTTCTGTTTGTGACGAGATATATATATATTCATTGACCAAGTTCCGCCTTCTTCTTCATCCACAGCTGATCGAGTGCACTGTCAGCACTGCCCTGCGCACGGACATAGCCGCACAGTGCGAACGTGGTGAAGTTGCCCCTGTAGACGCCATTCTCGTCAAGATGCCCAACATTGATCTGGACGGAAGCATGGTCCTTCGACGTAATCAACCGATTCGTCGAGGAGCACTTGCGGGGGATGTAGAGATCGACGTTGTCTCCCTCCTCGTTCTGCATCTTGACGGCTACGGCGAGCGACGACGAAGGCAATAGCGAAAGCAGAAGAGCGGCTGGGGACTGACAAACGCTTCCGCCTCCAAAAGCCGCCTCACACCCAGTTCCCTGCGAATGACGGCCGCCCAGTGGTATAGGTTTGAATCCTCGTCTTGCGTTTTTTGGGATATATGCCAAAAGTAATTCTGAATTTATTTAATGCAAAATACCCCCATAAGTAAGATATATGCCAAAATGCCCCTGAATTATGAGCGTAGACCGGTATGCCCCTCTGACAAAAAGAACATTTTGTGAAATACCCACCTTGTGCCGGTTGGACCCCCATCTTTTCAATATACCCCTACCGGGTACCGTCAAATTTTGCGAAATGTCCCAGTACTTGCCACCTTTTCCTAGGGGCGATTGCGAAAGGCCAAGGCCCAAACGGGGAGGTCCAGATCGCAAATTTGTACACCCACCTAACAGGGGCATAACACAAAGCTTTCGGCCCCAAAGGGGATTACCCTCTACACACATCTTTCAGGGGCATTTTGGCATATATCTCGACTCATGGCGGTATTTTGCACATTATCCCATTATTTTCTTCTCTCAGTTTCACGTTGTGGGCCTCCCTTGTCGCCTTATGGAGAGACATAGGACCTGTCAAGTCCCCACCAGCAGCGAGGTTGCATGAGGCCTGGAGGCAACCGGGGTTTGGAAACCCACAAATCCTGTACTCCCAAGGGCAGCCGTTCTCCATTAGGCAAGGATCACACTCGCTGTCCTGGGTAAAGAAAGGAGTTTTCTCTGTGGGGGACCTATGGGACATACCTGCAGGCAAGTGGAAGAATGCTGTTTATTTTTGTTTTTTTTTCTCTTTCTTTGAACAAAGGGGCCCCGTGCCAAGGCTCATATTATAGAATCGAATTCAGAAGCAACTCACGCCTCTTCCCATTAAGGCTGGAAGAGCCTTGGCTACTGCTCCCATGGAGACAGCTTCCCTATGCTACTTGATTACTCCCTCAATCGGGAAGGATTGACCCCATGCTCCTCAGCGACCGAACTCTACCTTACTAAATCAATTATCCTCAAATGAATCCAACATGGACGAACGATAGGGGGGGGGTCTAGCATGGCGAAGGAGAAACAAAGGAGAAACAAAGACAACTCAAAAGAGACAAGTAAAACCTAAAGAGTCAAAGCTTATCCCTAAGGAGCCATAGCTAAACTTTAGCTTATTGGATACACACCTCCCTTAACCAGCAAGACTGGCACAATTTTGTGATCATGAAGGTGAGCAGCAATTGGACGAGGGCTTTGGTTATAACAAAAGTGCGCACATTGTTGGATGAAAGGCATTCAGGCGAGGGTCAAACCCTGCTTTCAACCGCTGCATGAAGGCTTTGGTTTTAGCAAAAGTGCACATATTGTTGGATGAAAGGCGGTGAGGCGAGGGTCAAACCCTGCTTTCAACCGTCGGACACACCATCGATGTAGCCCTTTCACCCCCCCCCCCCCCTCCCAAAGAATGAATCATCTCCTTCCTTGCCCGCAAAAAAACCTCGCCTACCCATAGGCCCCCGTATAATCTTGACAACCTTTGTTAGTTCACCCCGAATGGGGAGAACTGGAGGGCATTTACAAGTGGTTACTGCAATTCTCTTCTCTGGTGATATAACAAGACTCGGTATCGTTGATATTTTAGTTGTCGTTGATAACTTTGTCCCAGTCGCTATTAAAGAACATCAAAGACTTGCTGCAATAAAAGCAATGATAAATTCATATGTTGCAATAAAAAAAAGTAAGAGTTAATACACCAAACCATCCAATGTATAGTCGCTTTTCAACTTTTCAGTGTTGGTAACCCAGTCACAAAAACAACCCCATAAATTTGAACCTTCACGTCTTTTTAAAGCAACAGTCACAGAAAAATAAGTATTGGAGTTAATGAAATTTTCATCAAAACTTTAATAAAAATAATTCTACAAATTATCAATTTATAACAATCATAAGACAATTTATAATTATAATGATAAGAAGTTTGTTATTAGACATTGTAGAATGCAAAGTATAAAAATAATAACTAGATTCTTTTTAATTTTTGATTTTTTATAAAAAATCATTTCATGTTTGTTTGAACCATAGCTAAAAGATTTTCTACAATCATACTAAGTATAGTCAATATTTGTAAGATGAAATTTTGTCTTGTTGTACACTAAAAAATATTATATTTAATATTCAAATAGTTAAAGCTAGTACTCCTGCTTTAGAAATTATTGACAAAAAAACAACAACTGGTGTAGGAGAGTGAGAATCAAATAAAATGAAAAAACATTATTCGCTTGTTTCAAACAGTGCGTGGAATTTTAAATTCACATGGCTTCTAAATTCACTTATGATTCGTTTCCTCCTCTCCTCTGGTGATTGGGCAATGGACAAAGTTAAAATTTTGTCTGGGAATATATTGGGACTTGGATCTCGTCAAGTAGCGCACAAACGATCCCTGATCAAAACAGTGGTTCGAAATCATGGAGCGACCATTGTCTGTTTACAAGAAACCAAATTGGACAGACAAACTTTCAACCGTCAATTATCATGATGGCGTGGTCCTCAATTTTGGGTCCGTCTGTCGGTGGCGTGACAATCTTTTTTTCGCGGAATCTTCCTATTGAGTTAAAAGATTATTTATGGGACGATGAAAGCGAATGAATTTGGGTTGTCTTTGAATTGGATGGACAAATGTGGGGCATTTATAATATATATGCCCCTGTTGCACCACGACAGCGGCCTTATTTTTTTGATTTCTTGCCAAGTACAGTCCCTTCTTTAGACCGACTCATCCTTATAGGGGACTAGAACACAGTTTTGCACCCTTACATTGATTCCACAACGCCACAATCGCCCTCACGTGAAGCACTGAAGTTGATAGCAATTCTTCCACACCATGGTTGGATAGATGCCTACAGGCGCTTCAACCTCAGCGATCCTTCATATACATGGATTGGAACATCTTTGACTAATACTCAATGTCTGCCTCGCAGCCGCTTGAACATATGGTTTGTCACGACTCACTTATTACCCTTACTTCAACAAGTGGAGGTTGTCCGTACTCCTGGTTCATATCGTCTCCCATTGCTTGTCACTCTTAAACGTGAACTACAGATTCGTCGATACAAAGATCTCTACAGATTTCCAGCATGACTCACACGTGATGAAAAAAATATTAATATGTTCAGGATACTTGAAAATTTGACATGTCCACAATGCCACCACACTTTTCTTCATCAAAATGACTGTCCTTGGCATTTGACTATTTGGTTCGACTCAGTCACACCGAACTGCCGGAACATTACCGACTCCAACAAGCCAAACTTTATACACAGTTACTTCAAGATATCTACACTAAACTGTCTGACTCTACCATTTTTGATGTTATCCTTTTTGAACTCTACCGTGCGAATGTAGAATCTTCTTTGCACCATCATATAACTGAACATCAACGTTCGGTTATATGCATAAAGCGTAAGTGGTTGGCTGCAGGAGATCAAATGACTAAGACCCACTTTGCCCGGTGATGAACTTTTAACATGGATATTATGATACTAGAATTACAACACCCCTTTCATCTCACCCAACCTAATGCTCATACAACAGAACAAATATTACAATACGCCACAACATTTTACACAGATCTTTTTACCAACAGAATCCAAGACATTGATATGGAAGAGCATTGCTAAACACACATCTGGCCCGCTTTGCTTTCTGGACTCACATATCAACAAAACGCATATATTTATATCGCCTTCACCTATTTGGAGATGAGGCGAGCTATCCAGCAACTTCCATTGGACAAAGCTCCGAGCATTGATTATATTCCCACAAAAATTGGTCCGCCAATGTTCGTCAACGGTTACTCCGACAATTCTTGACCTCGTCAATGCTTTGACTGAAGGTGAAGTTTTGTCTCGTACTCACGCCCAAGGTGTCCTCACCCTTGTTCATAAGAAAGGTGATAAAACGCAGATCCGTAATAAACGACCGATTACACTTACCACTACCCTTTATAAGGTGATATCTAGAATGCTAGCAAATCGAATACAAGAAGTGCTGCCTAACTTGATTCATAAAGATCAGACTGACTTTATACAGAACCGTCAAATCTTAGACACAGTAATGACTTTCTGTCAAGGCATGTAATACATCAACCGGACCGAGCAACCGGTGGTTGTCCTCCTCCTTGATTTCGAAAAAGCCTATGATCGGGTCAACTGAGAATTCCTCTTTTTGCTTCAGAATCTTCGAAGATTGAATTTTGGCCCCAAGTTTGTGAATGCAGTATGGGCATTGTTCTTAGGCGCTACTACACGGTTGATAGTCAATAGAAAACTTTCAGAACTCATTTTGTTAATAAGGTCTGTGAGGCAAGGGTGCCCTTTAGCGCCGTACCTATATATTCTTTATATTGAAGCTTTGCACGCGATGATAAGAGCTGATTCTCGGGTCGTAGGTCTACGCTTTCCCTCGGATTGTGAAGCCAAGGGTCAAACCTTTGTTGATGACAAATCGCAGTTTGTTCTACTTGATGATGGTGTTCTTGCCGCTCTCAAACAAACTATCGACTCCTTTTCACATGTTTCAGAAGCTAAATTCAGTTAACAAAAAATATTTTTGATTATTTCTCTACACTGCCCTCCACCTCATCACTGGGGAATTTCAATTGTGACTTCTCAAGAAGTTCAAAGATTGCTTGAGTATCATGTCAATTTACAGGGTGACATAGGTCAGACTTCACAACAGATTGTGGAAAGAATCAATTTCGTATTAACTTGATGGGTCAAGGCTAAAGGAGTTGGGCTCTATGACTGAGCACTAATCATTAACAATGTCGTTTTTGCTAAATTTGGTACGAGCACTCCATGAAAGCTCTGCCTTCATTAGTTTACCACCATATAAAGCGCGCTGCAACTAATTACATTTGGAATGAAAAAATTAATGAACAAAATTTTATTTCCAAAGTTGCTTGGAACAAAATCATTCACAAAAAGAATAAAGGTGGTTTGAGAGTGTTGGATCCACATCTGCAGATTAGTGCACTTTTGACCAAATGGGT